AGGAGAAAAAAATCCGCGCTATATGATCAAGGGAGAGACCGATTAGCGATCCTCGTTGATACATATTTCGCCTTGGCCGCGCTCGCTTCCTTATACTGCGATGTGTACCGCTCCGCCAATTTCCGCGCTGGCACGTCGCACAATAACGAGACATTCCAGGTATCCACGAGTGGCGAGTCCACGTCGTCGAGGAGCGCAGAAAATTGGAAGCGCATTTGACGAAGAGAATTCATTCGTGGGCGTCGATCGTGCCGCGACGATCTTTTCCAGATCACGCTCCAAGCTCGGAATGGATCTATATCGCTGTCAGATGAGGCACGAGATGGGATGCATGCAAGGAAGCGCGTGCACTCACAGTTTCTACAATTCCCACGCCCACCGTCACACCAGCCACGAGACCGCAGAGCAGGTTCTAACCGTAGTCGTCGCTAACCACTGACATTACGCCGGAAAAAAGCCGGCCATGAGCTGATTCCGTCGCCTTTTGCCATCACGGGCCACGAGAATCTCTGGAGTCCTTCGTTATACGTTGACCTTCGACAATATGATGATCCTTGTGCCGTCGAATTCGAAGAGCTGCATTTTCTCCGCAACGGATCGTTTCCTGCGCGAAAGCGATTCCCTTGATATTTTGTAATCGAAACCGCGCACTGCGTAATCTCGTAGGAAATGTCAGATTATCGATCATTTACCTTAAAGGGAAATGATTTATTCAACGGAGATTGCGCGAACTTACATAATAAACTCGCAGATAGCTGTAGGGAGGTATCTGCGTGAGAACCCGGCGGCTCATTAACTTTTGCTCTACGAGATTAAGTAATACGTGGCACGCGCGCAGTAAAACTTCCGGTTATATATATTATATACCCGAGTATATAAACGTCTACGTCATAATGATAAGATTATCTTTATTACTTATGGTGGCTTGTCATCATCGTCATTTACTTTGACAAGAAGCCATCGTTGATCAGAACAGCTCGCTCGTACGAGAGAATAAATTATAAGCTCAGGATTATTCGCTTTCTATATTTATGTCGACTCGCTCAATGACATTTGTGAAATTTTTGCACATTGATGTTATCACAATTACGCGAGTTTACTAGAAATCATTAAGAACAATGACTGCAATTGTCGTCCCACGCACAGAGCACATATGACATAAACCTATAATTATATCGCTTCGAAATTGATAAATCTTTTGATAATTATCTGGTTAAACTATTCTTTACATCAAAAATATTCGCAAATCAAAAATTGAATTGAGCATTATCACCTTGCGCAATTTTAAAACATTACGTGTTATGTACAAGTAAATTTAATCCTTTTTAATATTATAATATTATTATATTATAATATAATATTATTGTTTTTTTTATAAATTTCGTAACAATAATTTTATTGATTATAAATTCATGTTGCATCTATTAATTTATTATTGCTGCATTTTATAGTGCAGTAGCGATTTTCATTAAGGATTGCCACAGAGAGTACGATTCCAATTGACGATTGAAACGTGTCGTTTTACGTTCACCTCTGCCACAAAACGCGTACGGTACTTTGACTTCTCGCCGCATTTATAAATGTTATTGCGTCTAACTAAATATTATTGCTCGAAAATTCGGTTGCAGAATTTCATTACAAGCATTCAGGCATTATGACATGGTATGATTGCGTCCGTTAAGTTTGCACGCGATATCGATCCATATCGATGCATCTCCGGCGCCGCACCTGTATACCGACGTTGTTATTACCTATACATCATTATCTCTATCAAAACAGTCAATCTTCATTAAATCCTGTATGTTGCTCAAAGCGTTGGCGAGGGCCAACCGGATCTCGATTCCAGTTCGTCAACTATCTCGTAACGCGATGCTGTTCTTGTGCTTTACGCGAGGTCTTCACATAATTATACTAGATCGTTTAGAAAATGATGGAAAATAATGGTAGAAATAATTGTATATGAAAATAAAAATATAAAAAAAAATGAAGTGCAGCAGCGTCAAAGAACAAAGAGAAAAATGGAACCAAAGATGAAGTAAAAAGTGGATAAAGATAGGGATTGCTATTGCTAAGTGCAAAAGCATGCTGTTGCTGATTAAAGACTCGCACTCGTCACACAAACAATCGCGATTCACCTGATAATAAAATGCGTAATGATTTATTGCTGCATCGCACGACAAGACATAAATGCAACATCTAGCTTCGTAACTTTGAAAGTAAATTTATAATGGTTGTTGGTATTTGTTTTATCAGAGAATAAAATACATTGCATATATGTATGTACGTATGGGAAAATTAAAATGTTATTTAACCCCAAAAAAAACTCGAATTTTTGAATATATGATAAACTGGCCGTATTTCGAACATTTAATTTATTGTAAAATAATTCTTGTACAGTCCTGAGCACGTACATTAATTATCCAAAAAGTTCTGTTTATAAAAATATTTAGAAATTTTTTAAACAACTTTTCACTTATTAATATGTTAAGTATTGACACGTGTGTATACTCATATATACGATAATTTCGATGTTTTTTAATTGTTTTATCATATTTGTACATCAGTAATGCTTTTTGCGTAAATTGTATGTTTTTGATATAATTAGAAGCATTTTTTATAATCCTGGTTGTTATTAACAAATTTTTAATTGTTACTCCAAGAACGCTCTTAACTTCAATCACATACGCAAAATTTTTAAGTATAAAAAATTTTGAAAACTAAATTACACGTACTATTTTTATAAATTCTTTATTTTAACATCAATAATAGATGAAAAATAATATGAAACATCTTGCTGATAAAATAGATATATACGTAAATGAGCACCGACAAATTTAATGCAGTTACTTATACATATATACCTCGGATTATTTATAATAATAATTAGGCATTTGCGATAGATATAACAAGAAATGTATTTATATACAATTACATTAAATTATATATCTACAAATTTGATTTTTTCCTTACATTACGTCGAATGTAGGAAGCTAAAAATGAATAGTCATTGTATATAGACATTACATTAACCGATTAAACATCAGTTAAGATACTTAATAATGTTATAAATAAAGCGTCAATATTGGGCACGCAACATTTTTTATTTTTTCTGTTCATCACAGATCAATATATGCAAAAATTGGCTATATTTTATAATATAATTATTACGCAAGAAACTATTATATGTATATTTTTTTTTATCTTAATATTATCTCATTACAATAGTCTTTATAGTGGAAGCCCAATATCCGTGTATACGTTATGAAATTATTTGATCTATATATGTAATTGATCTATTTTCGAGCCAATTACATTTAAACGTGTTATTTATCAAGTAAAGAATAAAATAAAAATTTTACTTTGTCTTATTATAATTATAATCCAAACGTACAACTCACATTTAAAATATATCTATATTAATATACTAATATATTTATTTCCTTTAGTTTTTATAAGAATTATACGTTTGGAATATTCTGGTACATTCTTGTTTATGATTTCTAATCATGATTTGCTATTTTTAATAATAAATTTATCAGTTTCATAAAAAAAATCTCATATTCGCATTCACTCCATTAACTTACTACAAACAAAATTGCACTGTGAGTTAAAATTATTACTGCTTCCATCACAATCAAACAACAATACTTATATACTTATGTACTGACATGTGCGCGATGAAATAATGATATTTCATAATATATAGAATAGTTTGCGATACTTATGCAACTTTATCACTTATGATTTAGATGTACGCGCGCATTGGCATTGAGCACATTAATTAACTCGATAGACATATTAAGTTAATATAATAATTATAAGATATATACATACGCTCTTGTCACTTTCGACAAGTTTGGACGTTTTTCTGTCATTTTGACAGTGCACTAATATACTCGCAATAACAATAAGCAATAATTGACTTTGTTATTACAAATACTTTGAGCTAATGTGCTTATCAATAATCGATATGCACAAACGTAAAGCACCTAAAACGTTTTTCATCAATCATTTATAAAGATATTTTACAATTTCTTAGAAAACAATTTTACATGTTTCATCGATTATATGTATAATAATATAATGATAGTATTAGTAATAAAAAAAAATGCAGATTACACATATGGAAATATATAAAAAGCAATTTTATGCCATTTACTTAAACTTTGATAAATATTCTAGATAACAGCATGTTATCGATTTGCGCCATAAATAAGCTAAAATGGCAAATAAAATATGTCCTATTTTATACATAAAATATTCTACGCAAAAATATATATTCTATATTAATGCATTCTTATCTTGGATAATATTCCACGTGCATGGCAATCAATATGTCGTATTAAACATATGGCAATACGAATGTATAAGAAATTTTTAGCGAAATAATAAATGGAAGGAAAATAACAAACTGAAAAATTAACTATGTATAAAAATATATGAATATATTACATAATGAATTTGACTTTTATCGATCTTATAAATCCATGATTGTCGTTTTAATTAGCTAAGCGTTACAAAAAATTTTACAAAATAAGTTGGATATTTATAAAAAGTGATATCACATCTTTCATGACGTATACGAATAAACAAATTTACAATAAAATTATGATACATGAGTAAATGTTGCAAACTATAATAATATTGCGCATTATAATATCACTCTACGTTTTTTATTGCACAAGATGATATAAATATATCTTCTGTATTTTTCATTAAATCGTCAAAGCACTTTGAAAGATATTGCACCTATATCTGTTTATCGCGCGAATAATAAATAATCAATAATCGATTACTAATAAATAATATTCGACTTCATTTATAGAATTTTTACAGGAATTGATCATCTCACATTTGTGTCGAAAAAATTTTATGATAACACATAATATAAATATGTATTCTTATAAGATTGATCGTTATGAGTCACATATATATATTTAATCTTCAATATATAAATTACTATTTACATAACGATGTACGATTTATAAATTATTCTCCTCTGTTAAATGTTGAAAATAAAATATTGTCAATAAAATAATAGTCAAAAAATATTGCCAATACTATTTTCAATAGATTATTTGAAATATCTTATTTTAAGCATAAAACATTCCAAAAAAATATTTTAATTTAAAAGCAACAAAATAAACATTAACAAATTATAGGAGATATCTTTGTATTTGACAAGAATACTCATATTATCTCGCATTTGTAAGAACAATTATTTCTATATAAAGACGAGTGAGAAAGTAAGAGAGAATAAAAACAAGATATTTGAAAGATTAATATTTTATAAGAACTTTTGATAAACAAAAAAGACGAAATATACTTTTAGTTATAAATCGACATAAACAATCTCGTCAACTACTGAGTGCTATATGCAATGCATATACAATATCCATCGCAATAATGTAAATAAATCTCAGGAAGTTCCAACAGATCTGTATTCTCTAATGAATAAAACAAGTTAAAGTCCATATTATTATTAATTTCCTCCATCAAACGTAAACTTCACCTCTCTTGCTACCGGCGACGGTCGTCGTAGCAGGCACACTCGTGGACAACGTCGAGGACGTCGAACCCAAACCGCTCGAAAGCGACGAGTTGGTACACGAGACGCTACTTATTTTTCTCGACGTATCCTGGACCCGTTGAGTGGACTTGGAGAAATCGTGACCGAAGCTACTGGTCCTCGGTCGAATGCCCTGATTGCCGGAAGTGAGTCTGTCGACGATGGTGAGACCATCCCGGCCGTTCGACACGGAGATCGTGCGAGTCTCTCTTGGCTGCAATCCCGGGGATTGCGGCAACGACATACTTCTGTCGTCGCGAGCAGCTTGAACGACCGGCGGTGGACCAGGTAGCGACGCCGATCGTCTACCTCGCGCGTCCGCCGCCGCGATATTTTGCGTAGTGGGTAAAGTGGCGGTGACAACATAGCCCAGCTTCTCGGGTCTCATCAAAATCGGCGAGCGATCGTTGTAACCGTCGAAAGTGGGCGAGCTGCCGTTGCTACCCATCGGACTATTATTGTTGTCGATCAACGGCGTAGAGCGGTCCTCTTGGCCGGTGATACTTCCACTCCTACTACTGCCACTTCCGCTACCTTCTTCCTCGCTGCTATTGACTTCCGTCAACGTCGCCTGGATACTGTTGCCTTGATTGATTATGTGCGGCATCGTCGTCGTTGCCGTCGTCATCAGGCCCAGCTGAGTCAGGTGGCTCATGGTGACCGGCGTCAAGGTCACCGGTGTCATCAAACCGGCACCAGTCAATGTCGGTGAGAGTACGGCTTGCGCCAAGGCCGCCGCACCAGATTTCCCTGAAGCGGGTGTGCTTTCTGTTTCCTGTATCGGTGACAGCACCACCACTGATAGATCAGTTGGATAATGACCATTCGCTGGTATCACGCCCACCACACCGGCGCCGATGTTCGCCGCATTGGTGGCTGAAAGTGCCAACCTCTGTTCACGGTCGACCACCTCCTTTGTCACATCCGGAGTCGGTATACGCGGCCTGTTCTTCAGGGATACCGGCACTGAGTTCAGCTTCGTCATAGTGCCTGTAATTAAAAGAGAGTCATCATGGTTGTTGGAACGACACCTGATTCCGGATTCGAGATGATCTCGAGGACGTAGAAAATAAATAATGACATTATCAATTAAATTAACGACCCCCTAAGACATTTCCCGTCTAGAGTTGACGCCACGGATGAGTGGAAATGTGTTTTAGACCCATTGCTTTGGCGCCAGACAGGAGACGAGTTATCATCGTTGGCGAGAATATAATTACGCGGATATGATATTTTAACGGTGCTGTGTTTCTCTTATCGAGACGTGACAGGGGAGAAAAGAATAGAAAGAAAGATTACAAGGATATTTTAGAGAGTTTTTTATTATTATTGAATGCAAGAGAGAAATAATTGCAGAAATTGCGGAAATCACACATAGGCCACGCAAGATCAAACATTGCATAATCTTGCGCATACGTGGAAGCAATGATGAAAAAATTGCGATTTCTTAAGACTTTCTTTCAAAACAAGTAATGACTCAAAGGAAAAAATCTTCGATTGAAAACGCCCGCACTGCCGGGTAATCTTTGAAAACATGTTCACGAGATGAGTAACATTCTAACATTGAGGATAAAAATATAAAATTAATGGGAAAAATAAATTTTTCAAAGAAAAAATTTTACTGTATATTTTATTCGATAATTAATTTTACTAAAAACACTTTGAAATAATGTATATTTCTTTTCTTTTGTATAAAATTATTAGAAAAAAAATGAGGTATAGAGATACTTTCTTTTATTAATTATAAATTTTATTTATGTTATTATAAAAAATGTATATAAATTTATATAGAAAATAAGTTTTCACATTACGGAAGAAATAGATTATTTATATATAAAAGTTTTATGTAATTTTTATAATATAACGAATTGTCGTTATTAATGTAGTAATTAAATTTCGGTCATTATTTTGTTTTCATACACACCTTGACGACCCATTCGCTGACTACGAACGCTCTTACGTCCTACGAGACGATCATAGAGCGTCATTTTAAGATTAGGATTGTTCGTCTGCGGAAGACCACCAGTCTCAGGACTGCTGTATACGCTGTTGTGTCTGTTTCGTGAAAAGAAACCACCACCACTGCTATATGTGGTCGAGGAACTGCGTACTGACCCCATCCGAGTAATCTGCCGTTGAAACCATCCATTCTTTTTTCGTTCTACCAACGGAGTGTCCACACTTTCCTGTTAAACCCGCGAGATTTAATATTAGAATTATAATAAAATTATACAGGATATAAATTAAATATAATATTTTAATGCTTTAAATAATAATTGTGTTTAGTGTGAATAGAAGAGTACAGTGTTTATTGCTTATATAAAATAATTTCAATATTGCGCTTGAACAATTCACTTACGTAATCGGCGTACATATCATCCTGATGAGTCTTACGATGATGAACGTGACTATGAATCTGTGTGCCTAGCATAACATTTGCATAAAGAGCATCGCTATCTTTTACTTTGTAATGCTCCGCAGAACCTTTCGGTTCCTCTTTTCGATATTGCTCGCTGGCGACTGTATATGGTAAATCTTTAGGTATGACTTCGTCCCAATATTGATCTTTCAGAAGTTCCGGATGTTCCTCGTGCATCTCATCAACGATCATGTAACCGGCCTATGACACAATAAGCATGATAAGAAGATAGGCAAGAAATAAGAAAAACTGCATTAACATAAAACATTGAAAACTTAACAAAATAATTAACAATTCAAGATATGTGTAAGGAAAAATATTTCCTCGCAATAATATTATATATTATATATACAAATATTTTATTGTAATATCTATTTTGACATAATATAATACATACGTAAAAAAATGCATTCATAAATTCATTAATAACAATATAACAAACAAATTTGTAGATTATTTAAATATAAAAAAATAATGTACCTTAATATGTCTATCTATCAGCCAGTTCAGCTCGATATCGTCATCATCTTCGCCGAAAGGATTAATTAATACCTCGGCGACTTTCAGCCATCCGACGTAAAAACAAAACTGCAGAAACAATATTGACAGTTTATGAAAAGTCTTAAACATGATGCAGAAAAATTCTTATACAACATCCTATAATTGATGAAGATAATATCAATTATTATTAATCACCTGCAGTGTTGTAAAAACCGGGAAATACATATCCGGCTCTTCATAGTTCTTCCCGCCTTCAGAATGTGCAACGAATTGTCTACCGAGCAAAGCTGAGAAAAAGTAGGCGTACAGTGATAGTGTTACCACCTGAAAAATATAAGTAATATATTGAGAGCTCTGTGACAAGGTTGCACTTACATCATTATAAAAAAAAAACGTAAATAGAAGAGATCAGCATGAGATATAGTTTATAATTATTTAAAATTCACAGTTCATTTTTAAACGGAAGGAAAAATGTGATTGAAAATAATTTCGACTTCCCACCGGAAGTCCCGAGGACTTCGTTAAAGATTACAACTTCTTGTCGCTTCTCTTTCTGTCACACAAGTACAGGCAAACAGGTTTAATGAATGAATATCAAGGTCGTCGCGAGAGCGCTGCCTTTCTCATCGAAGGTTACCAGGAAACAGTAGTTTATTCAAAAGTATAACGCAACTTATGTCCCTACCACAAATGATGCCGTAGATCTATGGCTTGGAGCATTTCGGAAACACTAGGTTCAAAGGATTCCTCTCGAGTGTAATACGAAATTATTCTTGAAGGCGTGACGTATCGCGGTAAAATTACTGTTCAACTCTCTTGACGACCTTGACCATGCAACACGTATTGGCTTCGTGTTTCATACGCGATTCATTATCCACGCTGCATTGAAAGGCATGTTTTTAATTAAACTTATTACATTACATGTATATATTATAATAAATATGCTCTTAAACGTAATTGTCCAATATGCAATTAAATTTAATTATTAACATTTTTTATTGACATGCTGTAACATATTCTTTCAAAATGTATCATTAAATATGCTATTTTGCATTGTATATATCTAAATATAAATGTAATAAAAGAAAAAGAATATTATAAAATTTATTATACGTAAATTTATTATACGTTAAATATATAGAAAATATTATGTCGGATTTGAATTAAATATTTTTTTTTCCATAATACAGACGAATAATCATAGCAAAACAGCTTCTTAAAATTGTTTGTTACGAATAAGGAAAACATTTGCAATATAAACACAGACATATGCAACAGCAACTAATATCTAAGACAGGTATATTAATCTTCGAATCTACTAATGTATCATTATTCGATAAATACTCTGCCTTAACTACGCGTAATCTTTTTGCGATTTCACGGTATATGTCGAATTATACTATCGTCTTGAGAAAGATTTATATCATGATTTATACATAAGAAAAGACTACATTCACACACAAATTCAAATGCTTTGTTAACTTTCTCTAATTAATAACTTGTTAGAGATAAGATAATTATTTTTATTAATAATTAATTTTTTACTCACAAATATTGTAATTTCTCTCTATGTTTTATAAGTATTAAATATTGGTCATTATATATGAATTTTCTTATATATCTATGTCTAAGTTTGACGTCCAAAATTGCAAATAAATTGTAAATAATGCATTGAATACAGTTTGTCGAAGAATTACATAATGCGTCACGCTCGTGGCGCTTGAAACATGATAATGACACGATCATTGGAAAATGATGAAGACATTCACGTAACTTATTCGACATCTGCCAATGACAAGTAGCATTATATTGATATATAATTGCTTTTTTTACAGCACCAGCATTAGATACAATGGAAAAGGCTATAAAAGTAATATTTTCTCTGCTCTTTCTTGTGTAGAAAACAATACAATAAATAAAATCACATAAAATTTTATTTCTCTTGGAATTGCTAAGTGAATTTATAAACAGCGTCTTCGAATTATAAAATTTACACTTCTTATTTATCATCTTATTGCATTTTCTCAGTTAATCCAATTCAATTAATCGGATATCTAACACTCAATGCATTTATTAGTATCTGTTAAATATTCATATTTATGTAAGGTAAAAATATTTTACTGAAACTAGGCATATTTAATTATAACACAATTTAATTTGATTTAACAAAAATCCTTACCTGAGTATAGACTAGAGGAACGCAAACAGTATCGTAACCAATCAACGCGCCAAGCCTCTTCCGGATATCGCTGAGCTCGACTAGGAGAGTTTGCACTACATGATCACTAGTAATCAGGGACTCCTTCCTCGCCCTGTTGATGATGTTGGTCGCCCAGACGAGCGGCATCCAGTACTTGGACATGGCCGCCTTTTTGTTCATAATCTCGAAAATTTTTTTCTCCGATTCCATCATCAAACCTGAAAAAAAAGAAGATCGACGATCGAGAATGAGCCGCTTCGTTATTCGTCCGACTTGAGCGAAAAAACATTTCCGGACGTCTCAGCAAGCTGTGTAATTATACGAACTTTCGCCGCGCGTTTGAGACGTTTGAAAAATTTCTATAAGATATGAACATCTTGTGTATCTTAAATCGCGATCGGTATCACAGGGCAGTAAGTCAGCAAAGCCCGCGCCTCAGCAATCCCGCTTAATTAATGAATTTACTAGTACGGTTCGTTAATTAACGGATTATCAAATAATCAGCATCTTTCGCCGACTTTCGCGCGCACAGGCTCTATGTGTATATAGTTGCGCGTTCATTTTAGTTAAGATAAAACTCGTACATAAAACTGAATAAACCTCCAACGCAAAACATGAATGTATGCCCATTGTTTGTATAATATAGTTTCTTTGAAACCAAAGTGAAATCGCCAGTCAGATAAAGTCTGTTTTATTTCCTGTTAACAATGCATTATATATATATATATATATATATATATATATATATATATATATATATATACATATATAATATATAAATATACATATGTATATTAAATGCAAGTATGCATGACAAATAAATTTATTTGAAAAAAATTTTCAAGTTTAGGAAGTTTTCGTTGATTGGTATCTGTCAACATAATTTTATTTATATATTTTTGTTTATCCCTTTCAACATAAATATATGAAATGAATAAATTTGTAACAATATTAAAGAGAAAAGCACATTTATAACATGAGAGGAATTCAATGCTCTTAACAGAAAACGCATTATAAAGTGATTAATAGAAATTATACAAAAATAATCAATTCTTTATTATCAGAGAAAATAACAATTGCATAATTGTTAGTAATAAGTCATATAAGTCTGTCATAATATTAAATATGTGCAATAGCGCGATAAAATCAAGAATATAAAGGAAGATGATGCGTTTGGTTAATCAATTATCTTCATCAATGCCAAATAAGAAAAGGGGTAAATATGTAATAATTTTTATGTGCAGATTTTAATATAAAAAATCAAATAATCCTGATAAATTATTTGATTCGAGTCAAGATTATACGATATTACGCAGCATATTTTATTTCTTCTACATTAAATCTTAACGAAAGATCTTTGACGAATTGGCAATCGACATGTTTCTAGTGAAAGTCAGTGAAATAAATTATTTATATCTCTGTTTGTGCGTATTTAAATATTTTTCTTGGATATGTACAAATAAACTTGAAGTAACTGAAAAATAGTGTGGGTGAAACATCGAAATATTCTATTTTTGTATTTCCTATTCTTATCGGTATAAACTAACTTTCTTTCTTGAATATATTTCCATATTTTCCGTTTTCTTCGAAGTTTGGCTTCTAAACTGATTTATAACTATTTATTTTCAATAAATATAAGTATAATGTATTGCTTATCTTAGTTATTAAAAATACTAAAATACAAAGCTTTTTGTGCGTCTATTAATATTATTAATTTTAATTTATAAAATACTTTAACAAGATAAATCAGACTCTGTCGGAGGTACAATTATAGTTTAAAGAAATATTATTTTAAAAGTCATAGCAATCGCAAAAAATATCATAACTATTAATTCGATTAGTATTCGATCAAGTAATAAAAACATTAATTTTTTTGACATGTTTTTATTATGGTTAAGCAGAAAGCAGAAAAGGTTCGAACGTATATCCGCAACTTAACCATAGCTGAGGCAATGACCGAAAAAATAAAACAACCTTGTCGAAGATGTATCTATCAAAATATCTCCAGCGTCACTTTAACAAGTCGTTGATCGAAGAAACTGTCTACGAGATGAAAGAAACTCCGATGAACATGTGTAGATTACTAATGACGGTACCCATGCTCTTTTATTCAGTGGACGTACGATAGTTGGATCAGATACACACCTTAATAATAAAAACTGACATAGATAGTTCCCATGCACATTCAATTTATGGTGTTTTATATGTCTTAAACACAGCATTAAAATTTGTATCCACGATAAATTATAATTTTATTCATTTTTTCTATGCTCGTGCAGTAAACTCGTACATATTTAGCACATATCTTATTATTACTTCTTTTATATGTTGTTTTAAGCAAAATTTCATATTATTATATATATTTTTATTTTTATTTTATTTTTATACGTGCATTTATATGTAGAGACAAATTGATATATATTTTTTTATTGATTAATAGATATAATTATTAATTTTTACAAAATTAAAAAAATAATTTGATGAAATAAAATTTATAGGAAGAAGAATGTTTGAAAAATGGAAGCAATTAAATGATTCATCTTTACATTACCTTTTTAAACGGAAAATATATCTTGTTGTGTGTACATTCGAAAAACACCTGCATCCATCGCAGAATATTTAAACTAAAATCGTTACCGAGTGATCGATCGATTCGATATACGATCAGCTCGCCCCATTCGTCACACGACCTTGATACTGTCGTATAGTCACATGACATCGCGCACAATGAGCCCGAGAATTTGTAGGCAGCTATTGAAAGTAACGACTGATAACTCATCGAATGACTCATTCGAGTGTCGCGATACGTTATTGGCAACGAGGACCAGATATGTCGGATGTTGAAAGATCTTTGATCGACATACAGGTGTAAAAACCAGATAGATTATATAATCAATTTATTAAAATGATAACGCATAAATGCGTCAGTACATCATTTAATTAAAAAAAAGCACTCAATGTTTAAAAATAATTTAATTTCTGTGTGTGCGCTTTTACATATGTTATATTTTATCGGCGGTCTACGATTTTCGCGTGAAAAATGTGCGGCGCCTCAAAAATTTCGAAAGCGTCCGCATCGCCATATAAAGATAATTTATATCCACTTTCACGGATTTTAACGGGTCGCATGAATTCCGTGGAATGATATCCGCTTAATTTGCGCATCGGTGTTAAATTTACCGGTCGAAGCGAAACGTAGCTCAAGGTCTAGCGCCACTCTTTTACTTAGAGTATCTACCTACTACTTTAGAGATAAGAGTTACTTAATGCCGTTAGCGTCTGTTAATAGAAGCAAATCAACGTTAATTAAGAAAGCGTCCGATCGCGATATATGCGTAGTTCTCTGACCCCGTAGTTGTTTACATTAAATTACAACTCATAAATCATAATCATGATGTATCAGTGAAGATCTTGGCTCGTACTCGTGACGCTCGATATAAAACTTGATGCGCATGTAATGAGTTTGATCGTTAAATCTGGATTCCCAACCAGCTTTCTTCGTAGCACTTACGCTTCGACCGATATAAATAAACAATTAATTATTTATAGAATATAGAATTAAAGTTAAACGCATGAATGCACAAGAAAAATCCCTCAAGTTTAAATATAGATGAATATTTATGTAATTATAGTTAGAATAAAATATAGAATGAATAAAAAGAGATAAAAATGATAAGAAGAAGAGGAAGCACTTTTTGCTTGTAATATTTACAGTGTAATTTATAATATAATAAATAATCTATGATATTTTAACCAGTCGATCTATCTTTTTTTTATTTCAAAAGTTATCTTTTACTTAGAGATATAATAATAAATAAAAGCGATGCGAATGCAAAATTATATGGAATTGTGCTTCGGAACGAAACGAATGATTTTCTTTTCTAAAGCGATTACGCGACGCCGTGGGCAAGATTCTAAAAAATTGCATCCAAGCGCATTCAAGTAAAACGACTATGACAAAGAAGAAGAAGAAGTGGTTCCCGTCCGTTCCTAACAGAATGTTTACCTCCCGAGACCATTGGCTGCGGACGAGGATGAGCAAGATAGTGAGCAAGGTAGAGCACCTCAGTGCACAACCGGGATCCGGGTAGAAGGATGCTCGGCAGAGGTCAACAAACGCGGGAATCCTTGTTCTCGGCAGGCAAGGTCGCCATGAAAGTAAAAAATATACCGAGTTCCTTTGGTTCTCCCTTCGTACTTCGCATCTTCGCCAGCGCGCCGTGACGATACTGAAAAGCATCCTTCGCAGAAAACCAATCCCCCATCTGGTCCGTATCTCTTAAGTACATTTTACAACACAGAAACCCACGAATGCGGATATTCCATATAAAAGTGTCTCGAAAGGGATCTCAATGTTGTAGCATCCAAGCGTTGCAGAGATACCTAAGATAGTATCCGGGTATTATTTATATCGTTTATTCAAAATACTAAATAACTTGTAATAATAATAAAATAACTGTTTTTTTTTCAAAATAAAAAAGTATTTCTGTTATTCGTTTTAACGATACGAAAAATTGTCTCAACATGCAGATATTTTAATATATATGTATATATTTTTAGATTACATTAGAGTTAGAGTAACTGTTTATTCATTGTTTATTTTTTATACCAATAGAAATACTTCAGAAAACATTTTCAAGATAGTAACAAATAAATTTCATCAGAACAGTATAGGAATGAAATTAGAAAGACTAAAGAAAGAAATAGAGAATCACGGAATAAGAGGTAAAAAACTTGACCAATACAAATTTGATCTTGCAGTGAGAGAGATACTTGAATTTGTTGAAATTCCGCGCGCGTAATAATAAACCTCTCGCATATGAATAATGGTACTTTCTGTTGCGCTGACGGTACAGTGTATTCGTACATAGCCGAGCTCGGTCGCAGACTTGGCGCCAGTGAAAATGCACTGATTAGGAAATATTCCCGCGTAATTAGAGGCAAGCAACTTTGAGCTACTCGACGCGCGGATGTGCGCTGGATGTCAATAGACCGTGTCTGCCAAAGAGAAAATCGGCATCCGAGTCAAGACGCGCCTGCATTATTCGCTCAAGTGCGTGATCGATCCCCGCAATCGTACAACACATGGCGCGCCATTAACGATTTCACTATCATTCGAGGGACAAAAGCGCACTCGTTATTGCTCGCTTCGATAAACGGAAGACTTTTCCGTCCGTAAGAGAGACTTATGACATTTTTCATGACCAAACAAAACTTG